GGGTTATCATTGATTTGGTTGAGCTACCCACGTCCGAACACACGAAGGATAAATATGTCTGTCACGTGTTTGATGTCGCATCAAGATATAATGTATTACATTCGCTGAAAGATAAATCGACACAAACTGTGGCTGAGTGCATAAATAAGTGCTTCGCAGATTTCGGCTGGCCAGCTATTGTATGTTCCGACAACGGTAGTGAGTTTACAGGAGATGTCATGACGACACTATTACTCGTTGCGGGATCATGCCATACAATGGGTGTATCTTACAAGCCTCAGACACAAGGTGCGAACGAGGTACGACACAGACAGATGAAGGAGTTCATGCGAGCAGCACTACTTGAGTGGCCGTACTTAATCAACTGGGTACAGACACAGATGAACGAATCCCCTGATTCAGTCACTGGTACAACAACCCGCTCACTATTTCCGGGGCCGTTATAGTGAATTACAGATCCCCTTCAACAAGGAGTCTCAAGATGATCATGTGTTACCATGGTCAGAGAAGATGCGTCGGGCCAGAGATGTGGTCTATCCTTGTTTAAGGGAAATGAAGGATATTGCTCTCAAGAAGAGACAAAAGCGATGGAATGATACCAAGAAAATAGTCGAGTTTGAGGTAGGTGATATAGGCAACATTATGGCTCGCAACTCTGATACAACTGTGCTTACGGCTAAATATATTGGACCATTTATGATCTCAGTGGCCGATAAGAAGAGCGGAACGTATGAAGTTAACAACGTTGATGGCTCTAGTGCTTTAAATGTCGGGTCACATCGCATCCCTACGATAGAGATCATCCTTCGTCGCACACGTGAAGCTACTACACCTCTTATGTCTTACGAGTTCAAAAAGATTCTAGGAAAGTACAAACATGAGAATATGACATATTACACTACGGAGTTCGCCGATGGAGCACAGTATGATCTTCCACCATCAGCATTTGATGATCCGGATGTACTAAAAGCTTTTAATAAGAAGTTTCGCAAACGCTTACTCAAAAATAAGGCTGATGCAGAAGCAATCTTACCATCGAATAAGCGACCCGACGTGGTTAAGATCTATCCACAGACATCATACATTCCCTGCTTTAAACAGCATGGAATGTACGGACCTCCAAAAGGCATAAAGAAACGTCCTATTCATCATCGGGGACCACAAGGACCAAAGCCCAAACGTAATAGAGTAACCGAGAAACTTATAACGTCTAATTATACTTTGTCTAAGAGAATATAACATAAGCATTGAGGCCGTTATCTGATCGAAACCCGTTTCTTTTCCTTTCGCTTGTCAAACT